TAAGTAGTGGACTCCTTGTTTGGGCAACACCCTTAGGCATATATAGATATTCAAACTGCTGGCAAAGAAATGCCATATAAAATCATAGTTCAAAGGATGGTTGATGTCAAAAGGAAATCCCATATGAAATAGAGGGAAATCTTCGTCCAGATTATTTTTGGACACAGACAGAAATAAGGTGTTGCCCGGGCAACTAGGGCAAACCCCCGGGTCCGCCACTGGAATCATGTTGTGACCAGAAACATATAAAGCCAATAGTATATACGTCTCTGTTGTGACACAGACACGAATTCGAACTGACAAAGTAGCTAGGCTACGCATACTTACTTTGAACCCACACATGCGCATACATACATGTATTGCTGGCGGCTCATCAGCATTGTCGTTGATAAACATGCACAGGCCTAGTTTTCGTGAAGCCGACGGTTTCTTATTGAAAGAGTGACGAACACAATTTGAATTCAAATTATTGGTAGACCTTGGAGTAAAACATGAAACTTGTCTGTGATGAGGTCAAAACCGGTAAAATTCGCTCTAAAGTCTTGTTGATCATATCCTCTCACGTTCGGTATTGCAGGCTTCCCGGTGAAGTTTTCTGTTCTGGTCTTTTTTAACCAATCATAATGTGGCAAATTTTGAAGCCCGCGATTTTCAAACCGCATTTTTTTTTTATTGCGAAACCTGATTCGTCAAAAACGTCGATAACTTTAATTTAAACCTGTTTTAGGGAAGAAACACTTCAAACCATAACGAATACGTTTGCAGAGTTCACGTAAATAAGATACGATTTGAAACATATTTTTTATTCGCACAGATATGTTTAAAACGGCGATTGTTAATTAGCTTCTGATCTATTAATAACCAATAAGAGCGTCACAAATTTTAAAGTCCGTTCTGCACGATGTAAAGAAAAAAGATCGCATAGTATTGTAGTTCCGTTTTGTGTTGCTATATATAGCTTTTTGCTTGAACTATATATACCACGCGTACGATACAAAAAGCGCTCGCTGCGCTCGCTATTTTACATCAATCACAATATCTGTCGAACAACCGTGCGTAATCGCACATTGTGCGCACGCTATTATCGCACAGTTTTTCATTGTGCCCACATCTTACATCGTGTAACCTTGTGCGATCACACAACCGTTTTCAGATTATTTATAAAATATACAATTGTAATTGAAACGACATTTTTGGTGATTCAGTAGGACCTTTCAAGACAAAAACACCTCATTTTTATTTCACGTTCTTTATGTAGTTTGTAACGAAACAATTTCTCATCCGGTACAATCAATCAGACACTTCAGCGTTAACACAAAGACAACATACACTTCAGCGTTAACACACAGACAACGTACACTTCAGCGTTAAAACACAGACAACGTACACTTCAGCGTTAACACACAGACAACGTACACTTCAGCGTTAACACACAGACAACGAACACTTTAGCGTTAACACACAGACAACGTACACTTTAGCGTTAACACACAGACAACGTACACTTCAGCGTTAACACACAGACAACGTACACTTCAGCGTCAAAAATAGACAGCATACCCTTTGTCAACAAAGACATCTTACACTTCAGCGTCAACAAAGACAACATACACTTCAGCGTCAACAAAGACATCATACACTTCAGCGTCAACAAACAAAAGACAAAATGTAACACAGCGTCAACACTCATGGTATAGTTATCCACAAAATCTACACAAAGATAAACAATGTACCACATGATCAACAAACAAGGACAAACTGCTCCACACCGTCAATACAAGGTCAACAAACAATGACAAACTGTTCCACACCGTCAATACAAGGGCAACAAACAAGGACAAACTGTTCCACACCGTAAATACAAGGTCAACAAACAATGACAAACTGTTCCACACCGTCAATACAAGGTAAACGTCCACTGAGATGTCCATTAACAAACAAGGACTAACTGTTCCACACCGGCAATACAAGGTCAACAAACAATGACAAACTGTTCCACCCCGTCAATACAAGGTCAACAAACAAGGACAAATTGCTCCCCACCGTCAATACAAGGTCAACAAACAAGGACTAACTGTTCCACACCGGCAATACAAGGTCAACAAACAATGACAAACTGTTCCACACCGTCAATACAAGATCAACAAACAAGGACAAACTGTTCCACACCGTAAATACAAGGTCAACAAACAATGACAAACTGCTCCACACCGTCAATACAAGGGCAACAAACAAGGACAAACTGTTCCACACCGTCAATACAAGGTCAACGTCCACTGAGCTGTCCATTAACAAACAAGGACTAACTGTTCCACACCGTTAATACAAGGTCAACATCCACTGAGCTGTCCATTAACAAACACAAAACTACGACAGCGTCAACACACATGGCCAAACACGTCGCCAGATGTGTGACAGGTGACGTTGTCCCAAGGGATATAAAGAACACACATAGTTATTCAAGGGGAAAATGTGATAGAAATATATTACATATTATGTTTTATCCATTATACATATTGTCACCTATGTCACTTATACAGGGAATCCCTGGATTGGAATGCTTGTTCAGCAACAAACATAGTATATATTTAGAACATGTTCTGTCTGAAACGTATTTCCACCACAAACATAAATGTATATATCAATTAGCATGATATTTTATTAGTGTATTTCAAGCTGAACGCAGGAAATAATTTCATGTAATCTCAGTAAGTATATTTCATGGACAACAAATGTCGGAATGCAGTAAGACGAGATTCAATTACAGTTATCTGTACTCGAAATCATAGGAGGTAACATTGTTCTTAAGAACAAAATTTGATCGACAAAAGTTTTAAGACATGCCTCCTCATTCAAGTGTGTACATTTCAGATTATATTTACATCTCACATGTAAACCGCGCTCTATCTCCAAAAGCTAATATTTCGCTGCTTTGTATTCTAGCTTTCTTTGATTTTTATGGTGTTGACGACACATCTTTGTTAATATTTATAATAATGTACGAAAACAACACTAACATGTTATCCCTTAATACTGGTTTTATTACAAAATTATCCGATTTCGGTCGCATCTATAGATAATTGATAGGTCTAAGCCAGGGAAATATGGAGTTCCTTAAAAGGTTAAGTAAATGTCCGACTATTCGGTTATTGAGTTTGGTAACCGGTTCGTGGTCTTCCGACCGGTTAACCGGCTAATCGTTGACAAATAATTAAAAGGTTCCCAAGGTTCCATTGTTCATTTTGATTATTTTTAATACACAATTCCTAGTTCAACCCCGTGAATTTAACAACTGTCAAATGTATTGCAACATTTAATTGTATGGAGCTTTTCTTCAGAAAAGGACTTAAACATATCTTTCATGATTGTGACAATAGTAAATATGCCTTTTAACTGCCTTTGTTAAAAGTTTTCAAAACCTCATATTGAATTTGTTCTACCTGAAATAGCATTCGATACAAGATGCAAATTAGGGCTTGCATAAGCATAACGTAAGCAAGTTACGGTAGATTTTTTTCTTTTTTTTTTTTTTTATTAATTCCAGACAAATCATATACATGAGGAACGACGGTAGATTAGTGCAAGTACTACAATGTAACTCTCATTATAAACAATCTTACTTATTGATACAATAAAGCACTTATTTTGCATGACTTGTGATATTCAAGAATTGACTATCGGTTAGTTAACCTGCATAAATTTCTCCTTTCATTTTACCATATGATTAGGAATTGGAATATGTATTTACAAGAAATAAATACGTGTAGGTTCGTTTAAGGTAATCATTGATTGATCTTTATGGCCTCTTCTGTTGTTGACGAGCTGTTAAGTTTGTTGGTTGGTAGAAATATGAATTGTAAATGAATTTATAAATATGAATGCACTGTCAATATTTAAATATAAATAGAAAATCTAAATTTCTTTCAAGGGTGAAACATATGAAAAATATTCACCTCATGAGTTTATTACGTTTTCGTTGTTGGTCATGGATGTTTTTATATCTGCCTCCAATAAATGTTAGATCAAGCCCTACTGTAAAACAACGTCCGGTCTATTGTGACGTCAACATTGACACTGCTAATTGGCTAATTTAATGTCAGAACCGCCAGCTGTCCTTGACATTCATAATTCTACGCGACCAAGAAATTGTATCCATTTTGAATGTATGACCGTTTGAATCTCAGTTCGTCCTTAAATTTCACATTCAGATATATCGACAATATGTTGTCTTTAAATAACAATACATTAATTGACCAAATTGATCGTATATACACTATTTAACTTAAAATCAGTCACAACCCGCACTTCTATTTCAGTTGCTTTCCTCGGTCTTGCTTACTAAATGACCAAAAACGGACTGTTAACTAAGCTGTACAATAAGTGGGACGATCTCGACTTTCTGATCGTAAATAACTTTCCCTTTCTCGATAGTAACATTCCTGTTTTCCCTTCGTGTGATAATAAGGTCGATGTTTTCTATTATGCTCATACAGTACGGTAGGTCTAGAGTGCCATGTGGTTTTGTTGTCACTACCCGAGTTCTCGTTGTGAGAACGTGACATTACCTCGATTTGACCTTGATTCACATGGCGGGTGTCGTCAATTAACTAAAAGACGTTTACCCTTCGGGAACACTTGGTCCTATTATCTTTGTACTTGTTTTGTTAATTTTTTGCCTTAGTTGTAACGATATCGAGTTCAGATTATTATTTTTACGACATTGTGGATTATTTTTGTCGTTGATTCATAGTCATTCTCAGTATCTCTCTGATGTGTAGTGAAGTCGTTTCCTCATATTGGAGTCCATTGCGACCATCTTGTAGAATTAAAATAATAACATTGATAAGAGCAATAATTGAAACATTTATACGACTATATCCTCGAAAGCCGGATAGCGAGATTGTATTATTCGCCACATCCTGGCATCACAAACTTCAAAGAGGCTGCTCCCGTCATCGTGAGTACCTTTTATGCCATACATAACAACACAAAATACTTGTATATCATAAAATGGCTTTATTTGTGTCAAATGACAATCATGAAATAAACATTTTCTTTTGAAAATATCATATTTACGTATATCTTACAAAGCATGGAAGTACGAATATGGAACTTTGGTTTCGTTATGATGGATGAATGATGAGGTGGATGAATGAAATGAAAATGAACTATTTTGATCATTTTTTCACAGTTTGGCATCACAGATCTGTGTAGTGTAGATACCTTAACTGTCATAAAAGAAAAATCCTTTACTGTAAAAGTGGAAATTCTGGCGTGTGGAAATGTTCGCGTTGTGACTCTTCAACTCAATCGCCCCTGAAGTTTCATAATGAACTATTCAAACCTTTGAATTGGAAGAGTTCAAATGTGTCTTCAGGGGTGAATGAGTTAAACTGACTGCGGTATGGATATTTCCACGATGACAATGGTTTGAAATCTATACATTTATCTATATGCCTGTGTATAGATATATATTTGCGTGTGGATATTTTCGCGCAAATTTACTCAACGCAAAATAACGCCAGCTTTCCACACCGATATAATAACCACTTTTATAGTAACAGAGAATGGAAATAGGATAACAAATAATCCAACTTAATCAGTATCTTACAGTCATGTTATCAAGTTTACTACAGTGAAGACAATATAACTTGGTTCATAAATAAGGTAACAAAATAATTTATTTGTCTTTCCATCAATGTAAGATCACGGCCTGCAATATGAAACTGAAGTAGAATATGCGTATTTAGTATTCATACACAAAACTCTGATATGTACATTTTGGTCATTCTTTATCTATCGTATACATTTATCAGCATAACAAAACGTATTTGTCAACTAGGATTAAAACAACACTTTCAACAATAAAAACAAGTCATTTTGATTTAAAACATTGCAACAGTATATGGAACTTCACACAGCCGTATCGCTGGATAAATATTAAAACCTCACTTAGACATACTGTAGAATAAAGGTGTGGGCGTGTTGCATAATAACATAGACCTGTCTTTATACATTGTATTTGTATTGTATATGGGTCTCCGATTACATTGCCGTACAATCGGGAACCATCGGCTCTTTCCGTAAATGAAAAGTGCCGGCGGTTCGCGATTGCGCAGTCGTACTGATTGATAACGAAGGTGGTTTATATTACTGCACACAGCCGTTCTGGTGGATAAAATAGTTTTTTGTATATATATTCTACAGCCGTTCTGTAGGGGACAAACACTATATCTGGTAGTATCATAGACTATTAATAGTGCAATTGTTTACCATCAGAAATACCTGGAAATAACAAGGGTTCTTCTTACAATTTTTACTGTCAACACTATTGTCATCAGTTCTAGCATAAACTGTCACCGTTATTTTTACAGTAAGGACTATTGTCAGCATTGTTAATTGTGACATAACAGCTACAATAGCATTACATAATTGCTCAAAATAACACTGAATTCATTGTTACCATGGCAACACTGAAATCATCGTTACAATAGTAACACTGACACCATCTTTACCGGAACAATACTCAATTTTCGGATTCCATTTTTACCATACTATCAATTACAAAAGCAAGGTTGTACTATTTAAAAAAATGCATCATCAATCGAATTGTTACAACATTGTTACCATGACAACAGAGATAATACTGTAATTAAAATCGCAATAAAACCCAATTTGCAACTCCCTGCTGTATGTAGACCCGACAACCTGCATCAGAAAACAATGTATTTGTAAAAGCGAAAATTCGTTGTCAAAAACATGCTTTTGATCATTTTCTTTTGGCAGCTTTTCATCATTAGTTTTCAAAACATCTTGAAAATTACTTGAAATATCCAACAGAAATAGCAATCAGTACCTGGCTGCTTAAAACTTTGCTAGTTAAAAATGATTTATAGCGAGTTGTTAATGTAAATTTTCAAAAATACGATTTTTCGAGACCATTTGAAATTTGCAAAACAATCAAGGACTTTAAGTCTTCCGATGACTATTTAGAAGGGATGACATTTTGATTTTGACTTCTTATTTTTTGAAACCTGGCAATTGCAGTTTTGCCTGGATTTACCATGAGACTAATCACATTTTCAACAATCAGGCTCTGTAATACAATTTGACATTAAAAAACCACCAAAAAAACCATTTCAATATATTGTTTCAGACAGATGGTTTGATAAAAACATAAATCAAATCTGTCCGATTTTGACAAGGGGGAATAAAATATGCGCTCCAATTCCACAGAACAAAACTGGGCCAAATCATACATAGTCCTTGGTATCGATTTAAAATCAAATTTCTTAGCCTGTGTTTTATCACGTGAAAATCACATTGTCTTATGTACATGTACATGACCTCGATGGTGGATGTTCAACATTCGCCAGTCGAAGTCCCGATGTTTCAGATTTTTCTTGATGGTCCCACAAAGTTCGAAACATCAAAGTTTGACTGTATTGTAATTAAGATGTTTAAAGAGAGGATCACAATAAAGATGAAAGAACGTGATAGAACTCAGTGAAGTATATAACAATAATTCTGTCACCGTTTGTCTGGCCTCGTTTTGGCAAATGTGAAAGAGCCATTGAAATACGAAGGAAGTACAGAAATCGGCAAAAAATATGAAACCAGTGGTTATAAATCAATGTTTCAATGTACACAGAGACTGGATGACGACATGGTTATTCGACAACATGAAATGCAGGTGATGGCATATGAAATAAGTCCTCATCTGGGATTTATACATCGATGATAGTTATACTTAATCAGAATACATGTTAATATATGATCCTAATCATGAAATACCTCACAACTGTTCTTGTATACAACTCATAAGGTCAATTTCTCCCCATCTGTACCTTTACATTTACACCAACATGAACAAATAATTTCTAACCTGATTAAGAAATCTCCATCATTATACCTTTGACAGAAATCGTGGCCGGCTCCCTTTTTCACATCCTGCCTTGTTAATATTTATTTTCATATTTTTTAAATTATGATGATCAAAACCATCTGTTACTAAATATTTGAATAAACATTACGAGAAACTTGTTGGTTTTTTTCAGCCAATTTGTAATTTTAGATTATGCTAAGTTTGGAATTATTTTTTTCGTTTATTTAAATGTAAATTTATGTAAATTAATTTATGTAAATTTATGTATATTTATTATAATTTCCCTCCATAAGTTAACGATTGCCTTTTTCTCTAAATGAAACAATCTTAGAGATGTACAATTTTTTTTGTAAAACAATTGTCAAACACAATCGATCACTCAATACAATCAAATACATAAAGCAGATAAATCGAAGCACCTTTTTCCAAAAATAGACACACATAAGGAATTCATGATTGAAACACATTTAATACAAATGACTTTGGAATTATATATTTATATAACAACACAAATGAAATACATTTAATCTTTTGTAACTGGTCGTTTTCACACACAAAAATACAGAACATATTTTTACAGTTGGATTTAGCAGAAATTTAAATTAGAAAAAATAATCTAGGTGTCATCATACAAGTGGTTTAGGAGCTCCGATTCCTAAAATCTGTTCAACCTCATGATATAACACAAGTTCTGATTCAATCAATTTTCGAGAGAAAAAAAGGAAAATGCCAGCTTAAACCACACAAATAGTGATGCAAAATTACCAGTGAAAGATACGAATTATAACATCACTTCTATGTTTTAAGAAATATAGCAAATACTGAAAAAAGTGAGTTATAACATGCAGTGTCTATAGGCCATAAATGCAAAGTATAGTGATGTAATTTTACGTCAGATAAAAATGAGATTCAAGTTAATATAACTGTGAAATTCTAAACTTTATTCAGATATGTATCTAGTTACTTAATTAAGTCATACTCTATTTACCCTTTGTATATAGAAACATGGATTAAACTGATATTCATTCATGTTATCAAAGAAAGGTTATTTTGGTTATTAGCTTTCAAATAGGATAGGGTCAACAGATCATTTTGAAATGTTAAAACCCCAGCATTGCTCTCGCATGTAATAATTTCAATAAATTTCTTACTAACACAATAATTGTACATTTATTGAGACTCGCACACCTAAGTCATTGACTTTGCCAGACTAGACTTGTGTCCCTCTGGGAGAGTACAAAAAGTCATTTTCTTTTGTCAGATTGGATAGAGCTATGTCCCTTAATCTTTCAAAAATGAGGCCGAAACAACCAAACAATATATTCATTTTTTTTTAAAGAAACTTAATTTTTTTTACATTATTGAAAGAATCATTATCTATTCAACTTTTTGGTAATTCAATTTGTATGACTATATCTGTTACACAGGCATGCCTAATAAGTAGGTTCATTTAGTTGTGAGAGTCCTTATAAATGTGCAGTTTAAAACGACACTAAAAATTCATTATTTTAAAATAAAATATTTAAAAACAGATTTCCCTTGCTTATCAAACAAAACACATAAAGTCACTGACACTGGAATGCCACAATTATACATTGATTATCTTCTCATCACAACCATTTGAATGTATATGTTATCACAAAGACATGCTCCACAAGTTATATTTGTACAATTCACATATATATTTGTCACTCCTCTACACATCATGGCGAGCATCCTCACCATTTCTCTGCACTTCACAACAAGTCACCTTCGCTATAGTCAAGTTCACCAAGAGTTGAGCCTTTTCAGCATGCCTCGCTACACAGCTAGTGCATCTTTTACAGCAAGTCCGCTACAGTGCATCTTTTACAGCAACCCCGCTACAGTGCATCTCTTACAGCAAACCCACTTCTGTTCATCTCTTACAGCAAGCCCACTTCTGTCCATCTTTTACAGCTAGCCCACTACAGTCCATCATTTACAAAAAGCTCAATACAGTTTATCTTTTACATGTAGCCTGCTACAGTCCATCTTTTACAGCAAGCCTGTTACAGACCATCTTTTACAGTAAGCCTGCTACAGTGCATCTTTTACAGCAACCCCGCTACAGTGCATCTCTTACAGCAAGCCCACTTCTGTTCATCTCTTACAGCAAGCCCACTTCTGTCCATCTTTTACAGCTAGCCCACTACAGTCAATCATTTGCGAAAAGCTCACTACAGTCCATCTTGTACAGGTAGCCTGCTACAGTCCATCTTTTACATGTAGCCTGCTACAGTCCATCTTTTACAGCAAGCCCACTTCTGTTCATCTCTTACAGCAGCCCACTTCTGTCCATCTTTTACAGCTAGCCCACTACAGTCAATCATTTGCGAAAAGCTCACTACAGTCCATCTTGTACAGGTAGCCTGCTACAGTCCATCGTTTACAACAAGCTCACTACAGTCCATCTTTTGCAGCAAGCCTGCTACAGTCCATTTTTTGCAGCTATAGCCCCACTTATGCAATCCTCACAAGAGTGAGCCTTGTGATAATCCATCACTGTGCTCACTGAAGTTTGTGCAATGTAACCCTTTGTGATTATTTAGCAGTATCCACATAATCCTTCCAACAACGTCACAAATCATTAGATTCAGTAGATTTGAGGCTAATATTAGCCCTGGTAGAGAAATGACTTCCATCAAAAACTTATAAATAATGTCTTGTGTGAAGAAGAAAAATCCATAACTGCACAACACATTCAAGATAAGCAATGCTCGTTTTCATGTGGGCTAACAACTCGTAATTAAAAATATGCATTTAAATGAAGTGAAATAAGAATTTCCTAAAATAATTCAATTTACAAACAATACAGAACCACAGTACTTTACATACACGTTTGTTGACAGTGAACAAACAAATGATTCAATCAAATGAAACTAATTAATAAGATTTGTTTTAAATGTTATACTCTGACTAACTGACAGCTATATAAATGTTATCGTGATATAACTTGTATTCATTCCACGGCTTACCGTGACAACATGTTTACAAACGATGAAGTCTACCATTCGACCTTGACCTGATCAGAAAGAAAAAGACCTAATACTTATAATGGATCAAGACAGTTTTTAGAACATTTAATTTCCTTTTAATTAATTTTTTAAATATTATCGAATCATTTTCGAATATTTTCCCCAAATTAAACTACACAGGAATGTCTATGCTTTCACTTGAAATGGTTGTATTTAATCAACAAAGTTTAATAAAAATTATTAATGTTATTTACTGAGAATATTGGATCACACGGTCAATTAGTCAGAAAAATTACTGCGGATGTGCTACAACAAAGGGGTTAAAAGGGACATAACTCTACCACCAGGAAAATTAGAAAGTACTTGAAATTGTAATTAACAGCACTGATATATCTAAAACAACATGTTAAATACCAGAATACTGTAAGTGTATGTAAATATTTTGGCAACAGTCTTTCTTTGTTGTTTTCTGTGCTTTAACAATTCCGCTTAACTAGGAATGCATTTTTAAAATTTCCGTATATTGTGTTTTATTGCATAACTTGCGAGTACACAAAAACAAGTTCTTTGATGGTATTCAAATTCGGTACAAAATACAGCTTATTCAACCCTGAAGACACATTCACAATTCAAAGATTGGATTGGTTCATTACAGAATTTCAGGGGTGAATGAGTTAAAGGGAATATACGAAAAAAACAATTTTGTTGGAGCAATAATTCTATGTTATTAACTCACAATGAGGTTGCGTTTGATTCGGCAGAAGTTGGACCTGATGGTAGAGGTAATTTGGTGAAGATATTAAGTAACCTTTTTATATATAAGTCAGTGATAAACTGGACCAACGGCAAGAAACATGGTGAGAAAAGGGAGATAACCAAAACTGACCATCACTGTAACAACCCCTTGTCCCCAGTACACATGTATAGTGGTCGGAAACATCACACTAGCGACTTTTGAATTATCTTTCACAACAAAGTACTTTTGTTAATTCATCACTTGATATATATATATCTACATACACAGACTGATAACTAATATATCTAAGTTAATTCAAACATAATAAAAATAACACAGTAAAAATATTTTGATATAATGTAAATGGAAAACATTTTAAAAACATTTGGAATAATGTGCAGTATGGATTCTTAATTTAAGTGGTTTGGGCTACAAAAATATGTTATCTTTTTGAAGCAATGGATATACACATAATATAAGGCAGACTACATCTCAAGCAGGTGTCACAGTTATCTCCCTTTGCTTCCATCTCCGGGAGAAAGGACAACTTTAGCCACTGTTATTCACATTCACCTTGACAATTTTTTTTATAGTGCATTGCACAAACAAAATTGAAGTCATTGATGTTCAGGTGGAAACAAAAATGGCTGAAGGCAAAATATTTTGAGTACTCCTCGACAACTTATGTCTAATTGCCCTTGTTTAAATGTGAGGAGTATTTGTGTCCTTATCCTGTAGCCCAGGACGACATGTCACGTTGTGAATCTTTAAATTCACGCTAAAAATATCACATTTATACACACAGACAATCTTCTTCACCATACCAACTCAACAGCAGCAGGTAAGTTTCCATACTGTTGGTATCCTCAGAAAAGCATTCATCCTTCTTCACTTATTCACTCTACAAGAATTAGAGGCCTCTTTTCCTTTCAGGGAACTCCTCTGTTTCATAAAGAAGTGCAGTAAGGCCTACAAGGCACCAGGCACCCTGACGAACACTTGGGTTGGTCCGCAGACCTTGGTGCAGGCTCATTAGTGTGAGGGTGTAGAAGTGAACACATCACAGGAATGTAACCGAGTGACACCTCACAAGCTATCACAAGGAATGTTGTCTGTGCAAACAAGTCTGTGTACGGCAGACACAAGCACATCATTATGCGTAGGCTATCTTCCCATTTGTTTTGTCTTTTTTGTTTCCGTAGAAATGTATGTCTCCGTTTTCGTCGAAGGGTTCGTTATTGTCCATGTCCCGTGGAAGCAATACCTGTGTGCTGTCACTCGTGTAGAGACGATTGTACATCGGGTTGGCAAAGTTGGTCGACTGTGGAAGAAAAAAACATGTTGTTATTAGTCAACCTTCATCATCCCTAACCCTTCTAATTGTTCATGATCCAATTTGTATTAAAATCTAGTTTTTTTTTTATACCAACATGTAGATCTTTTAAAGCAAAAACTACATTAAGATTCAAAATTTTATTAATTTCCATTTAACTGAAAGTCCTCTTTCTAAAAATGTCTAAATATTGTTTATGAAATGTATTTTTCAGAGATATTATAACATTTTAAGAGTGATTCAAAATCCTGCAATTCCATTGTCCTGAAATAGATCCCTATTTTGAGTCATTTTGTTTATATGTTGGCCTTCTGGACAGGATAACTGTGGTATGTATGTACACATTACAAACATGAATAAACAACCCTTTAGAAATTGTGGTCTCTAAATACAGGTTAAGTTCACAATGAAATCACTACAACAGGAACATTTTTTATTAAAATGGTCTCTTAATACAGGTGGTCTCTTAATACAGGTGGTCTCTAAATACAGGTTTAGTTCACAATGAAATCACTACAACAGGGAACATTTAAAAAGGTCTCTAAACACAGGTGGTCTCTTAACACAGGTGGTCTCTAAATACAGGTTTAGTTCACAATGAAATCACTACAACGGGGAACATTTAAAATGGTCTCTTAATACAGGTGGTCTGTAAATACAGGTTTAGTTCACAATGAAATCACTACAACAGGGAACATTTAAAATGGTCTCTAAACACAGGTGGTCTCTAAATACAGGTTTAGTTCACAATGAAATCACTACAACGGGGAACATTTAAAATGGTCTCTTAACACAGGTGGTCTGTAAATACAGGTTTAGTTCACAATGAAATCACTAGGACAGGGAGTTTTTTTTATTAAAATGGTCTCTCAACACAGGTGGTCTCTTAATACAGGTGGTCTCTAAATACAGGTTTAGATCACTATGAAATCACTACAACAGGGAACATTTAAAATGGTCACTAAACACAGGTGGTCTCTTAATACAGGTGGTCTCTAAATACAGGTTTAGATCACTATGAAATCACTAGGACAGGGAGTTTTTTTTTTTATTAAAATGGTCTCTCAACACAGGTGGTCTCTTAATACAGGTGGTCTCTAAATACAGGTTTAGTTCACAATGAAATCACTACAACAGGGATCATTTAAAATGGTCTCTCAACACAGGTGGTCTCTTAATACAGGTGGTCTCTAAATACAGGTTTAGTTCACAATGAAATCACTACAACAGGGATCATTTAAAATGGTCACTAAACACAGGTGGTCTCTTAATACAGGTGGTCTCTAAATACAGGTTTAGTTCACAATGAAATCACTACAAGAGGGAACATTTAAAATGGTCTCTTTATACAGGTGATCTCTAAATACAGGTTTAGTTCACAATGAAATCACTATAACAGCGAATATTAAAAGTGGTCTCTTAACACAGGTGGTCACTACGACAGGGAACATTTGAAATGTTCTCTTAACACAGGTGGTCTCTTAATACAGGTTTAGTTCACAATGGAATACCTACGACAAGGAACATTTTAAGGGGTCGTTAACACAGGGGGTCTGTTTAAAGAGGTTCATATGGGAAGGATTTGAAAGCGAGACATATTTATTTAGCTTTTCCATATATACCACTGTTTAAGATGGTGCAGACATATATATTTTAGGGCATTGTCATATCTGACATGCCATATTAACATGTCATTCCAAATATTTTTTTTACTTTGTGCACAACATAGTTTTGATGTGATCAACGTTATTGTTCATTGTACAACGTGCTCTTGAATAATGCCATTTTAACAAACTAAATACAATGAAGCTGTAAAATACATTCAAACAAAATAAAAAATAATATTCAAATACATCCTGGTCTAGCAGTTTATAGTGGCATACAACACTTGTTACCATGACAACAGGTAGACAATATCGACCCTTACCTTTTCCCCCTCCTTTGGTTTCTAAGGACACATTAAATACAGTGCAAATTGTTAAAAAAGTCTATCATTTTTCCTCAGAATTTCTTTCTTTACGTTGAGTCTCTTGTTTACTTTCCAACATTACATCTGATTTCAATTAATTTATTTCATTAGAAAACATTGGTTATTAGTAAGAACAGTAAGTGATCACAAACGATTTTTTGTTTTTTCCCCAAGGACAGAACTTGACTCCTTGTGGTTTTTTTTACTGAAGGATGTAAAATAACGTTTTTGGATTGGTAAAGAAAGGAAGCAAATATTTGGATTTTTTTATGAACATGTTCCACATGTTTAATGAGTCATCATAGTTAAATAAATGCTAACTAAATTTAACATTTGTGTACATGTACAGGTCGATATGAACCGTAGGTGGATCAGTGTAGGAAGAGAAATTTTCCTTTGTTACTTTCACAGATTTACCTTCTTTTCAAATAGACTACCAAACCACTAAAATTTTGCAATTTTGTATCATGGAGTTTCAATCAAAGACGATTTTGCTGAAAAAAGACATGCTCAATAGCCAAAACATATACATGTACCAAAAGCAAAATTAATCTTGTAAGGTCAAACTCAAATAAATCAAATCATTTATATATTTAAAACCAATGCTGTGGCGGATCCAGAGACCTATCTGGGTGGGTTTCCAAATTTCCTGGGGGTGTTTCCATGTGGGGGAAAATTGAGGAAAATGGTGAAAATACATGATTTTTAAAGAAAATTCTCAGGGTGGGGGGGGTTCCTGAAGCCCAAAAACCCCTCTGGATCCGCCACTGCAATGCAATGCTCTTGTCTCAGAAAGGCATAAACTTATGGTCATAATACATTAGTCTAGTCTTATTGTAGTTACAATGTACTTTTACTGTACGGCAGAATCTCATCTGTTCGGCCGCTTAAGTCCAATATCAGGCGTAATCTAGAAGTTCCCAGAAAAGTTAAACAAGACATTTTGGCCACATAAGATTAAGCAAGTAAGCAAGTGTCCAAAGTCTAGAATAATAAAGTGCCACTGTGACCTGACATTTGATTGCATTTTAAATTGAATAAATATATGATTAATTATATGTTTATCTTAAAAGTATTTTTTATGTCCAAAAAGACTAGCCCCTGATATGCCAAAGTATAAGTTTGTATTTTTTCTTTTATCTTACTATCTGCCTCATTAAAATATCTCGAATTGTAATTAACAGGTTAAACTGTTGTTTCATCGTTTTTGTTGTGTATAAATGTCCAAAAAACTGTTTATATCAAGGTTTTACTGTACATCATAAGACTGTTTCTAGCTCAAAGCCGCAAGCTGAATCCAAAGCTGAAAACTTCAACAACAATGAAGCTCTTGCAGCCAACCTCTACATGAAAATTAGATTTAAACAGAAAGAATAGCTATACATACGTCGTCGCCATCCTCGTCGTAGACCTGCATAGGAGACATATCGCGATCGTCGTGTTCGTCGCCCTCCTGCGACTGCGCGAGATAGATAGGATTGGCTACCTCCAGATTGGAGTTGTTCATCATTCGGCGGTGCTTAAACTGGTCCCTGTCAAGAGCAGTAAACATTTAATGTACAGGGCTTTAATGGTAACATTGAATTAAGTTAATTAGTACTCAGGTTAAATGGCCAATCAACAGACAAATTCAATTTTTATTCTAGAGTCAGCTGTGGTCATACATAGGAGACATTTAATAGATAGTCAGCAGTTCAAAGGTCAAACAACAGTCACGTTTCATTAGTACTAAAGGGTGTAACCATAAAATCTTTGATAAGTAATCAGGGACTTAACAGTTAAAAAAGGACACATTTAATTAGTATCCTATGGTTTAATGGTTCCCCCCCCCCCAAGACGAAACCAAAAATTACCAAACACAAACCATCATCCCAAACCTTACCTCTTTTTTCGGACAACAAGAGCGATGACGATGAGGATGAGGATTAGGAAGATGGCGATTATAGGGATGAGGATGGGAATGAGGACACTGTCTGCCTGTGCTTGTTTCTCAAGGCCCTTTTCACAATGGTCACCGTGGAAACCTGCAGTGCACCTGTAACCATAGTAATAGAAATAGTGAAATGTCAAGTGAAGATTTACATAATGTTTTCAATGTTCATGATATAGAATTGATTGTATATATACTCCCACAGACCAAATGCTTGCTCTCAATACATGTTCCTTCACCTAAAAGTCTGTCTGCAAGTCACTCAGCTATCAGAAACCCCATCAGCTGATTCTTACAGAGAACCACTTACAAATCCTCTTAACGATATTTTAAAGGTTATTTTTTTATTAGAGGTTCTAATTCTTCCATGGAAATATTTTCCAATGAAAAGTACAACCTGTGAAATTAGTAAATAGTTCATTAATTTATCCCCACCTTAATGCCATGTGTCATGGCCTATAGACCTGATATCCATAAACAAAATAAACCCAGTGAATTTGACCATTATAGCAAACCTGCAAAACTACAACTGCAGAAAATAAACCTTTTACAGTTTATACATAAGTAAGCTTATAACAAGTAAGATCTAACGATCAACTTCAAACCTAGCAGCTTCCACCCTTCACTGACTCTTCAGTTTGAAGGTTTAAATTTCAGGTATATGTAAGCATATAAAGTCTTTACCATAATTATTATAATAGAATAGTTTCTATTAGAATTTAATCCTGTACTTCAGGACCGGATACTTACAAACAGCTGTTACAAGCCGCTACATGGTCGTCACCAAGGTAACAATCCTGACACTGGCCGCCATGGAAACAGTCAGTGTCACAGATACTCTCCGCACACAGAACTCCCTTCCACTTCTTGTTGCATCTGTCAAATTTAAACAACATGCAATAACAATATTTTTTTTTTTAAAAAAACCATTTTATATAAACGGGACAGTTAAAGTAAAACTCCTTTACTGCTTTTTATTCTTTTCAACTACGTATTTTACTGGTGATCATGATAAGCCCATGCCTGGTAATAAGCCTGTTCCCCATTTTTCCTTACTTTCCGTGCATAGAGTGGTTGCCCGGTAATAACCCCACCACACTCCTGGTATTTAAACAATAAATTAATTACATTAAAGTCTCTTTTTAGAGATTTTGGCACAAACAGCTTTTGCGGCTGGGGAGGTAGTCAAAACTGTACCTAGTATTAAGATTATTAGTGATTCACATCTAATAGCCATCTATACATCAGACACTACATGATGAAAGTTGTTTTTGAAACTCATGCTAACCAGTAAATTTATTCTTCAAATTTCTGATAGAACAGACTTTCAAAGCATGATTCATACTCTTACATCTGTGAACCCTTTAGGAAGAAGTATTCAAAATGGCACATTTGTTTTGAAGCGGCCCTAGAAATTGGAATGCAATACAAAGAATTATTGCTTTACATGCTGTTTTTACTTAATGATACTGTTACTTATATATGTCAATTGAACTGCTTTTTGTCAGCTTTATTTGCTACTGTAAGTATCTTGCATTTTTTTTTAGAACCATGAGCCCGAATAATCAACTTGTGATATAAAAAAGAAAAGTTGATGATATATATTAATGAAAAGAAAAGTTGATGATATATATTAATGAAAAGAAAAGTTGATGATATCTATTAATTAAAAGTTAACGAAAGCTTTTGGTATTGATACCACATGATATCGAGTGGCATGAAATTAATCAATTCAATATTTAGCAACAAGTCATTCAGATTGATATGTCTCGCCTGCAGCCCGCTTTGACCATCAATGCACATATCGGTGAAATGAATTCAATGTAGAAATCCAGCATTTGATGCATGGGTTGAGATATACTACCTAGGTTGCATCTTTGGTCCAAGTTTGGTTGGTCTAGCACTTGAAGTTTCAGAGAAACTAACTTCAACGCAAAAACTTAATGTTGAGGCTGTCGCCAGAAAAACAACACCGTAGTCTCGCTTCCGCTACTTCGACAAATATTGTCCTGCTTTGGGTTCACAGATATCAGATCTTGTACAGAACAACATATGTTACTACCCTTTAGTAGGAGAGACTTTGAACACATATACTTACACACAGACAGCCTTGCCATTATCCAGTTTTTCACAACTTCCTTGCTGGCACTGGCAGGTTTCACACGTGTCCCCTTCATATATTCCTGTACAGTTACAGTTAGGCTCCCCCTGGACTGATCACAACATTTACTGGTTATAACACGCTACAATCAACTCTTCACTTCAACAATTTTTTAATAATGATAATAATAATAATTTGAGGTTCTTATATACCACTTTATCACAACCTAGTTCGTAGGTCCTCTCAAAGAGGTTCACAAATTATTATCCGTGGTTATAAAGCCTTTGCAACCAGCCAATACCTTTCTTAACTCCATAAGAAGCATACAGCCGGAGCTGCCATTTCGGCGCTAACAGCTAGCATACAACAATTCTAGCACTGCCCAACCACATACTCATTTACAGCTGAGTAGACTGGAACAAGCGGAGTAAAGTCTCTTGCTCAAAGATACAACACAGGGCCGTGCTGGGACTCGAACACGCAACCCTTTGGTCAAAGGCCCGGCGTCCTACCACTGTTAGACTTCCGTGCCTCCCTTCAGTCACGAGCCTGGCGTCCTACCACTAGACTACCATGCCTCCCTTCAGTCACGAGCCTGGCGTCCTACCCCTAGACTATCATGCCCCCCTTCAGTCACGAGCCCGGCGTCCTACCACTAGACTACCATGCCTCCCTTCAGTCACAAGCCTGGGGTCCTATCACTAGACTACCATGCCTCCCTTCAGTCACGAGCCCGACGTCCTACCACTAGGCTACCGTGCCTCCCTTCAGTCACGAGCCCGGCGTCCTACCACTAGACTACCATGCCTCCCTTCAGTCATGAGCCCGGTGTCCTACCACTAGACTACCGTGCCTCCCTTCAGTCACGAGCCCGGGGTCCTACCACTAGACTACCATGCCTCCCTTCAGTCACGAACCCGACATCCTACCACTAGACTACCGTGCCTCCCTTCAGTCACGAGCCCGGCGTCCTACCACTAGGCTACCGTGCCTCCCTTCAGTCACGAGCCCGGGGGCCTACCACTAGACTACCATGCCTCCCTTCAGTCACGACCCCGGCGTCCTACCACTAGACTGCCATGCCTCCCTTCAGTCATGAGCCCGGTGTCCTACCACTAGACTACCATGCCTCCCTTCAGTCACGAGCCCGGTGTCCTACCACTAGACTACCGTGCCTCCCTTCAGTCACGAGCCCGAAGTCCTACCACTAGACTACCGTGCCTCCCTTCAGTCACGAGCCCGGCGTCCTACCACTAGACTACCGTGCCTTCCTTCAGTCATGAGCCCAGCGTCCTACCACTAGACTACCGTGCCTCCATGCCCAACATATTTAAAATATATTTCTGGTTTTTTGTTTGTTTCTTTTAAATTTTCATTGCATATAAAAACAAAACCCAACTGCTGCTGGGGAGAATTGTGTTCAATATATAATTCTTGTGAAAAGACACTTCTCTCCCAATTGTTTAGTAATATAAGTAGGTTTCTGGACAAATTAAACAAGAATACGTATACTGCAATACAAGAGACTTGTGTGTGTTCAATATATCAGTCAAAGTAAATTTTGGGGAAATTATGAAACTCCAACCTCAAATTGTGACGAGGAATAACACTTCTCTCCCAATTGTTTGGAAGTATAACTAGGTTTCTGTGAAAATCTAACAAGAATACTGCAATACCAGAGATTTGTCTTAAATATTATGTATTGCCTTTTATAATTTGCATGTAATTCATAAGATATTTGTATATTTTTATGTATTTTTTATATGCCCAGTAAAGTAACAGCATAAATATCTGGGCAAATCTGAGACAATTAACTCGTACTGCTGCCAACTAAAATATCAGATTGAGAATAAGTTAGCTGTATATTGTACGTTTACTCTACATTTGCCAATCAAAACTTGTGTGAGCTTGGTTTAAAAAGAAAAATTCTAAAATTTGGTTTTGTTTGTTTGTGTTTTACGTCCTATTTATTAACAGCTATGGTCATTGAAGGACGTGCCAGGTTTTGGTGGTGGAGGAAAGGTGGAGTTCCTGGGGGGAAAATCTTCGATCGGCGGCCAGTAACTTCTAAAGTTTTAGAGAAGTGTTCGACAAGTTAACATTCAAGTGAGGTGGCACTATAAATTATACCGTTGAAAGCACCGTCCCACTACAAACAGAACACAATACATCTCCAGCACATACGAGGCATACATATATCGGGAGATATTAGCCAGGTGGCATATGACTAGTAGTTAATAGCTCTGATAAGGCAGCTCCTGCAAATTCCTCAAAAATGTATTGATTAATGTATACCGGTATGCTAATTGTATTGATTGTATAAATTGCATATCTATGTACTGTAAAGCGCTTTAGAGTGGCTTATTCTAGCTAGATAGGGTGCTAGTATATCAAATGTTGTATACAATTATTATGATTTTATTTGGAAAGCAACATATTATAACGACTTACCGATGTTGCAGTCGCCACCATTTTGACAGTAGCCTGCACATCCATGGGCGGGCTGTTCACAGCGTTGCCCACTCCAGTCAGACGTACAAGTGCAGATGTACCTCTCTGTGTTTTTGACATCCACAGCGTTTGAGTTTGGATCACATGTGCCTGTGGTTAAAATTGAAAAGTTCAGTATAGGAGTAGAGGCAAACGAAATTGAAAAATATTTCTGAGAATGGGTATAAGTTTGAATATCATAGTCATAGAAATATACAGAGGATGATATCTTACAGTGTCTTCAGTAATACCAAATATATTTCACGAGTGTGGCTAATATTTTGATATCTTTCACGAGTGCACAGTACGAAAATGAAAGTTAACAGTGGAATTAAACGTTGTGTTTTCGCCAGAGAATAATTCCCCTATGACCGGTAACAGATGATTATTATTGGCAGTAGAAAGGGCTGATGTCTAGAACGGATTTTCTCGCGGCCATTAAGCTAACCAGGCTTTTACCAGATAGGCCACTTGTAATTTTTCCCATGGCAGTTTGTAATCAGTGTTTTGATTGGTCAACAACGAAATCAACCCCACCCCCCATCGGAAAGAACTCTTGTCATGTCAATCAAGGAAATGTTCATTGCCAATATTTAATGGGGATAATTTTCAACATTTTCTATGAAAACAAGCACCTGAAAATATTGAATGTATACATCAAAACATTAAAATCAAACACGAAGAATTTCCTACACATGAAAGTCATCATAAATTTCAAAAATTTCTATTAATGACATATACTTCAGTAAATAATAAATAGAAATTTTTTTCCGGAGGGTGTAGAATTATGGTCAATATGACTTATCTTCATACAAATTTAAGAGTAATTGCGATATTGCATTATAAATGACACAAATAGTGGCACGACACTAGGTAGTCAAAACATTTTATCAGACTTATCTCCCTTACCTCCGTTCTTGCAGTAGTCCTGACAGGAGTTTGTGCCAGTTTCACACTTATTGCCGCTGAACCCTTCCGGACACAGACACGATACTGAACCGCCCACAATCTGACATGTCCCGCCGTTCGTACAGCTGTCATCGGTACAGCTCTGACACGTAGCACCTGTGAACCCATGGCGACACCTGTGCAAATAAAAAACGACGTCAATTCAAAAGTAGTCTGTCAACAAGAAAACAAGCAGGTTGTCGTACCTTATATTTAAAGTCAATTTTATTTCAGAAGAGCTTTGCTAAATTAAAAACTTAAAAAGACTTGTTTCAAAAATCTCAAATGAAGTTTCAAATGAAATTGAAACTTATGCATACAGGTATATATGGAATTTGGTACATTTTTGTACTTAAAACTTAGATTAACAGTCCTTCATGTTATAAGGCCTAAAAAATGGTGCTTCTCCTTAACTTATTCTGCTAATATTTATGCAATGTAATTTAAGCAATATTTCCATAAAAACAGTTCTTGATATTACCTCTATAATACTATCTGCAAATAAAATATTTCTCCTCACCATTTTTCATTTTTTCTAACGTTATAGATATGGTTTGTTAATTTAAAAGAAGGACTAAAAGCTTGAGGGCTTAAATGTTATTTTCATTGGTACAAAACAAATGTAATTAACTTAACCAACATAAATTTCATTTCTCTGAAATAATAATTTTGCCAGAAATGAACTATAAATAACCCCATATTTATTGTTTAAACTCTTTTGTTTGATATTGAAATAAAAAAAAATAAGAGTTTCTTTTGTTATTACCATAATAAAGGCAGAGTACCTGAAAGAGTATTAACAGAAAGTTCATCTAAAATACATACACGCATTTTGGATTTCCGTTTGGCAAATAGGAGCAATGGCCGTTGTTATCACAGTAGCCTATACACACATCAGTGCCACAGCGCGGGCCGGTGAATCCTCCTTTACAGCTGAAAAGACAAAAAAAGACAACACATAAGCATAATAACTATGTAAAATTTAGTTATGCGTGACATCTTTATGGCGATAGCTGCTACGAGTAACCATCTGAGAAATATGCATTGCACCTTTACAACATAATGGTTTTCCTACTGATTATCTCTATCGTACTGATGAGTATGCAGTTATATTCAAACTTCAGGTATTTGTGACCTTGGTGAAGTACTTGCGACCTTTGTGAAGTTCTTGTGACCTTGGTGAAGTTATTGTGACCTTGGTGAAGTACTCCTGACCTTGGTGAAGTACTCGCGACCTTTGTGAAGTACTTGTGACTTGGTGAATTTCTTGTGACTTAAGTAAAGTACTTGCCACCTTGTTTAAATACTCATGACCTTGGTGACGTAATCGAGATCTTGGTGAAGTACTTGTGACCTTGGTGAAGTACTTGTGACTTTAGTAAAGTACTTGTGACCTTGTTTAAATACTCATGACCTTGGTGAAGTACTCGTGATCTTGGTGAAGTACTTGTGACCTTGGTGAAGTACTCGTGATCTTGGTGAAGTACTTGTGACCTTGGTGAAGTACTCGTGATCTTGGTGAAGTACTTGTGACCTTGGTGAAGTACTCGTGATCTTGGTGAAGTACTTGTGACCTTGGTGAAGTACTCGTGATCTTGGTGAAGTACTTGTGACCTTGGTGAAGTACTCGTGATCTTGGTGAAGTACTTGTGACCTTGGTGAAGTACTCGTGACCTTGGTGAAGTACTTGTGACCTTGGTGAAGTACTCGTGATCTTGGTGAAGTACTTGTGACCTTGGTGAAGTACTCGTGATCTTGGTGAAGTACTTGTGACCTTGGTGAAGTACTTGTGATCTTGGTGAAGTACTTGTGACCTTGGTGAATACTCGTGACCTTGGTGAAGTACTTGTGACCTTGGTGAAGTACTCGTGATCTTGGTGAAGTACTTGTGACCTTGGTGAAGTACTCGTGACCTTGGTGAAGTACCTGTGACCTTGGTGAAGTACTTGTGACCTTTGGTGAAGTACTTGTGACCTTGGTGACGTACTTCTGACGAAATACTTGTGTGTTTAAGTACTCATGACCTTGGTGAGAGACTTACTTGCAGGAGAAGGTGGACCCTGTTACAATGCATTGACCACCATTCTGGCAGTAGGATTCGTCACACTTCTCACAGCGGTCTCCTGTCACACCAGCTGGACAGCTACAGATAATCAAATGCATACTCGTTTACAGGTAAGTTAACACAGCTTGAAATTTACAGGTATATAACATAAACAGGTAAACATTCAGACATGATATAACAACTTTGTACAGTATTTTTGGATTTGAAGTTAAAAGGCAGAGAGGGAAAGAACTCAATACATCTACATATTTGACTCATTTACAATCAGCATACCATTTATAGTGCAATTCACCAAATTATAACAGGAGTGGAAAAAATGTAACAGGTCAGAGTGGATCTTAAAACACATGTACCTTTAGATTGATAGACAAACTGCTTTACCTGTTAATAAGCTATACATCGTATATACAAGATTTCATTTCTTATTTCTATTTTTCAAGCTGTAGGATATATAGACTCTAAACATTGTTACAAAACATTGCTTACGTTGTAGCTGGCCTCAGAAACATTATTTAACGAACAGCTCAGTCTGTTAACATTGTTTACACTGTAAACAGGTCTGAAAACATTTTTACGCTAACATTTCTGACATTTCTACATAATATATATATATACCTGCACTTGGAGTTTCCATTTAGTTGCGGGTGGCAGCTCCCGCCATTTTTACAGTATCCCGGCTCACAAGATTTCCTAAAACTACACTTTCCATCCTCAAACACAGCGTCATTTGGACACAGGCACTTGAACTTGGGTGCTTGTGCTTCAAGTGCTATCTGTTGTGGCATATTGACACAGAAGGCACCGGAACAAGGACCGTCATGTGTATTATTGGAGTGACAGTAATTCACAACTGAAATGAACATAGATCTCGTATATAGCTGGTCATCTGTTACACGTCAAACAGGATACGCATCAAACCTCAAGGTCAAGGTCACAGCCTACTTTCATATCAAATCCAATGATTTTTAAACAGATTATATGACACGCAATACATAATGACAACTGTTTCAAGAACATGTTTTTATTCAAAATGAGACACTAAGCAATATGATATTTGGTAAAATTTATGTCCAATCACAACCTAAAACAAACTTAACTACATACAATATAAATGCATATAACATATATATATATATAATGACATTGAGAGACATGAATGATGTTTTAAGGAAAACCTGACAATAAAAATATAATATTAAGCAAAGTGATATTAATTACCATATTTATTTTGCAATAAGCCCATGCTTGGTAATAAGCCCACCAATATTTATTTGGTTTAAATCCCTTCACTAGTATAGTAGGAGAAAAAAGTCCTCTATTTCCCCTATTGGGCCCCGCCCCCAGAGGGTCCACACCCTTCGTTTATACAAACTTGAGTCTCCTTTGTCCAAAGATGCTCTAGGACAAATTTCAATATAAAAAAAAAGTAAAAAAAAGTTATTTCATTATCCTAAATGATAAGCACCTCTCCCTATTTTGAGTCAGAAATTTTATATCAGCTTCCTAAGCTTAGTGGAAGATAACTACAGTAAGTGGAATAGGTGTATTTTTGTGGTCAGAGACAGGGCCGTACTTACTGGAGTTCTTCTGTTTGATTGGCTGGAGGATAATGATGTCCCCTATAAAAGTGATGTTGGTCAGTAGAACATCTGTCCAGTTCATGAATTTGCGACCAAACTTATGCATGCGTATGATGGAGTGTGACCGATACAATGTGACGTACAGGTAATCTTCGAACACGTCAAGCATGAAAGGAGGATCCTCCGTCCCTGTCAGAAAGGAAATGGGATCGTGATTACAATTTTGTCAGGTACAACATTATGTGAAACGACCTCATGTTATAAGGTCCATCATGGTAATTAAACACACAGATAAGGATGAGTTGCACTTACCAGGTTCGTGGACCGATTGACGGACAGACAGGGTACGTGATTCATATATACCACTCCCGCTCAAAACTTTGTTTGTGAGGGTTAACAAACAAACAAGGTACCATTATCTCTGTAATGGACCGATTGAAGGACAGACAGGGTGATTCATATATACCCCTCCCTCTCAAAAAGTTGTTTGTGAGGGTTAACAAACAAACAAGGTACCATTATCTCTGTAATGGACCGATTGAAGGACAGACAGGGTGATTCATATATACCCCTCCCTCTCAAAAAGTTGTTTGTGAGGGTTAACAATCAAACCAGGTACCATTATCTCTGTAATGGACCGATTGAAGGACAGACAGGGTGATTCATCTATACCCCTCCCTCTCAAAACTTTGTTTGTGACGGTTAACAAACAAACAAGGTACCATTATCTCTGTAATGGACTGATTGAAGGGCAGACAGGGTGATTCATATATACCACTCCCTCTCAAAACTTTGTTTGTGAGGGTTAACAAACAAACAAGGTACCTTTACCTCTGTAATGGACCGATTGAAGGACAGACAGGGTGATTCATATATACCCCTCCATCTCAAAACTTTGTGAGGGTTAACAACCAAACAAGGTACCTTTATCTCTGTAATTGACCGATTGACGGACAGACAGGGTGATTCATAGATACCCCTCCATCTCAAAACTTTGTGAAGGTTAACAAACAAACAAGGTACCTTTATCTCTGAAATGGACCGATTGACGGACAGACAGGGTGATTCATATATACCCCTCCATCTCAAAACTTTGTGAGGGTTAACAAACAAACAAGGTACCTTTATCTCTGTAATGGACCGATTGACGGACAGACAGGGTGATTCATATATACCCCTCCCTCTCAAAAACTTTGTTTGTGAGGGTTAACAAACAAACAAGGTACCTTTATCTCTGTATACAGTGAGACACGATACCCAGATTTTTGGTATACCTATGTAAACCTCTATCATCTCAACCGATACTGGCATATAAAATTTGGTAATTGTAGATGATAACTATATGAGATCTACTCCAGCCAAAGTGATGCACTGTAAACCATGAGCCATAACTCTACATGGTGGGGTCTGAGACCCAATTTAAGTTAGTATGCGACACTCTACCGTTTCGAACCAAGGAGTCGTCTCCCAAATTTCATCAAAACATAAGGATAAGGATATAGTAAAGGCGACTCCTCCCCACCCCCTGAGGGAAGGCAACTTCCCTCCCGCCGACAGAACACCGACTTCCGTCAGTGAGATGAAACCCGCATGGGTGGAATCATGTAGGCAAAAAAACCAACTTCAACCAACCAACCAATCAACCAACCAACCAATTAACCAACCAATTAACCAACCAACCAACCAATCAACCAATCAACTCTACCATTCCAAAAGGTACTCGCATACAAAGTTTGGAAATTGTAGGTGACAGAATATATTTGATACCTCTCAGACAAAATTACACACAGACTGACTGACGATGAATGGCGTGAAAACCTCTAGTACCCAACCACCACCCAGTAGTAAAGGCTTGTGGGGAATTATTACTCCAACCAGCGTCGAAGAAGATTTTTAACTTTTTCTACATAATCCAACATCCATTACAGACTCATTTGATAATGTAATTACCCTCAAACTGCCAGACGACTTGTCGGTCGTCGCCATTGAGACCAATGGTTTCTATGGTGTGTTTCTTGGTGTCTGTCCAATACAGTCTGTGATTGGCCTGGTCGATGGCCAAACCATTCGGCCATACTATATCATCTTTCACCAGGTCTTTGCGCCCACTTCCATCAAGATTTGAAGTTTCAATCTTTGGCGGGAAACCTCTGTCTGTCCAAAACAATTTCCTAAAATATATGAAAGATTGTTGAATTTTGGAATTAGCTGACACAATCCTTTTTGCTGACGCAATCCATTTTGCTGACACAATCCATTTTGTTGACACAATCCTTTTTTGTTTAAATTCTGTATCAATGATGTATTATAATTTTAAATCAATCACATAAGTTTAAAACAACAATGATATAGTGGAACAATGATAACCCTTCAGGATCCCTGTTCCATAATGAATTACAACTTCATAACAATTACACAAGTTCTTCTACAAAACAACTATATATATAGTCTAAAAGTAATAACCCTTAAGGATCCCTGTCCCACTGCACAGCAGTTTTCATTCATGCAGTGACCTCCAATTAAATGCATTTTTTGAATAAATGTAGCCCAGTTGAGACAAGAAACTCCCATTGACCAAGTAGCTCAGTCAGTTAGAGCGATAATATAACAATCTGAAGTCTAGGGTTTAAATCCCATTTATCCCCGCTGCATTTTTACACTCGGAAAGCCATTGTTGATTATATTTTGTTTCTTTCATTTTTTTTCTTATTTACTTATTCTTAAATGTCAAGCAAGGTATGTTTCTTTTTTTTCAGAGACGATTGATCAAAGTTTAAGTCATGCCCGGGTAAAAACTGTTTCCAATATGTTGTTACAGTTTTTGGAAGTGGTATGGGGATCCTTAACAGATAATTTCATGAATATTCAACTGGTTCCTTGATTACCGAAGATCTTTGATTGGTCAATAATGTGTGATGTCATTTACCCTGCTTCTGGTGCCACAGCGATGGAGTAGGGTTGGTCCAATCCAGAGCTCACCACCGTGATCTTACGAACACCATCATAATCTGTCATTTCTACAGTGCGAGTTCCGGCATCGGTCCAGTAGATTCGTTTCGCGACCCAGTCTACAGCAATACCCTGAGGGTCGGCTACCAGATCTACAAACTAAAAGAACAGGTATGTCTTAAATTCTGAAGCCAGTATTTAAACATCAGAACCGGCATAAATTGAAATAATATCTTCAAAGTAATTTCTAACTTTAACTTGGAATTAAATTGAGCACCGAATTTCAAGTTTGAGCATAGGAGCAATTACTACGAAATGAAAGCCTTATTTTCCTAGATTGATTTGTAATATTTAATGACCAATTAGCCATTTATGTTCATCAGATCTTAGAAAGCAAGATATTTTTTTTTTACCGAATTCACTAGCTGAAAATGCTCAATTTTAGGGTCCAAATTCAAGAGTTTCCCTCCAAAGTAAGGTGAGTTGGTACATGTAAGTATGCTATTTATCTTGACCAGTATCATAAACAAGGGTATCGTACCTTCACAGGAAGCTGTGCCTTCAGATCTAAACTGCTACGACGTGTTCGCGTGTTACCAGGCTTAGTTTTCTTGTTCGGGATGTTGATCCCGGCCCATTGGGCATCAATGGTCATTTTCTTCAGCGTTTTGTCGTGGCTGATGATGAAGGCAGTCCATTGCGTAGAGGATGTCAACAAGGAGTGTGTCATGTCCACATCAATAGACAGGATCTTGTCCATTTCACTCTAGTTAAATTAGCAAAGGTTAAAGGTCAGATGAAACTGGAGCATTACATGTCAAAGATCATAGGTAACTGGAACATCAAAGGGCATAGGTTATAGGTAACTGGAACATCAAAGGTCATAGATAACTGGAACATCAAAGGTCATAGATAACTGGAACATCAAAGGGCATAGGTTATAGGTAACTGGAACATCAAATATCATAGGTAACTGGAACATCAAAGGTCATAGATAACTGGAACATCAAAGGGCATAGGTTATAGGTAACTGGAACATCAAAGGGCATAGATAACTGGAACATCAAATGTCATAGATAACTGGACCATTAAATGGCAAAGGTCATAGGTAACTGAAACATCAAAGGTCATAGGTCATGGATAATTGCAGCAACAAAAGGTCACAAGACTTCAAATGTCATAAGCAAGACGTGAATAGATAATCAAAGGTCATAGGTCAGGGATAACAGGACCATCATATGCTATATCAGGTCAGATGTTACTTGATCATCAATTTCATAGCTTTAAGTTAACTGGAACATCAAAGGTCATAGGTCAGATGTAACTGGTGCATCAAATGTCATAGGTCATGAATAATTGCAGCAATAAAGGTCACAAGTCAGAGATAAAGGCAGCATCAAATGTCATAAGCCAGAAGCAAAAGGGATCATCAAAGGTCATAGGTCAGGGATAAATGGAACATTAAAATTCATGGGTCAGAGGTATATATGGAGCATCTAAAGTCAAAGGTCATAGGCAAATGAAGAATCAAAGGTTATAGGTCAAGTGAAACAGGAGCATTAAAGTTCAGAGGTCAGAGATAAATGATCGATGCATCTCATTCATAGGGAACAGTGGTAAGTTTACAACAGTAAGGTATTTAAAAGGAAAACGTCACCAGTATATGGACCATTATTTATAATTATCAGTGATTCTAAATAAACATTATACCCAATGGAATCTGAGACTTTTTTATGCTTTATGGCCATTTTACAGTTTTTTAAGTAAAATCACACAAACAGTTACTTTGTGACGTTTGCCTCCAATAGATTTATTAGACAAGCAACAATACTTTTGAGCCAGTTTGATTAAGATAAAGATTTAATCTGTCGCCTTGTTAATGCCATAGATGATAAATTTACATGTGTTTAAATCAGATTGCATTTTAGAATCTTCATTAGAGATCAGGGCCCAGCTGTTCAGAAGGTGATTATCTTTATCATTGTTTACCGACATTTTCAAGCTCTAATAATTCTGTCTATGTACGTACTGTGTAGAAACTTGTAATTTTTCAGGTATTTTTTTTTTTTAATTTGACAATATATTTACAGCCTGAAAAGTTTTATATCAAGTAATGGTTGTATTTTAAATATACAAAAAAAAAGAAAATGTACACTAATCACTGGTTAAACTAGTATTACCTTTTGAACAACGAAGCCCAGAGCTATCTCCTCTTGATACAAATCCAATGATTTTATTTCACACAGATTCCATTGCAAAGTACATTCACCCTTCACCCCTAGGTAACTTCAGTGGACTCTACCATGCATTAAAGGGAATTAGTCCATTATGGTCTACGGTGGTGAAAGGGTTAATGATAACCCAAGTAATATTTCCCAAGGTAAACCTTGAAATTCAAATTCTTAAGTATTATCATTATAACCAGGCATTGCCCCACTGGTAACCAGTCCAATTTCTCAAAGCACAGTCGCCAGGTACTGGCCGTGGGTCGGTGTTTTTTCTCCGGGGAACTCTGGCTATCCTCCACCACCAAAACCTGGCACATCCTTAAATGACCATAGCTGTTAATAGGACGTAAAACACAAACAAACCAAAACCAAACCAAGCACTGTTCAATAGAATTGTCTCCCTTTGAGATTAACACATAATACTTCTCCACAAATGACATAAGGGTACCCCTGAATAAGCACAAATACCTCCCCTTAAGCTTTGTACTTACCGTCATCAGAGACTGTTTTTGTCCACCAAAGCCGATGTCAGATTGGATCAGCTCCCTCTCGTGTGCAATCAGCAGCTGAGGCTTGGGACCTGTAATAGAAGGTAGGTTGTTCAAGTGTAATATATATGCAAACGCATATATCAGACTCAAAATATATTCATAATTTATGAATGTAATGTAATAAATGTAAAATATCACATTAATTTTGTTAAAACAGTCAAATTTACTGTTATGTTGCTGTCTGATTTTTTGGAGGTACATCAAAAGGCTTAAACTAATCTAATGTATCATCCACAAGGTGGTATGAACACAGACTTCGACTGGCCTTCCTTTCACGAGACAAACAGAGATGACTTACCTTCAGCATGACATGTGGGACAGAGACAAACAGAGATGACTTACCTTCAGCATGCCATGTGGGACAGAGACAAACAGAGATGACTTACCTTCAGCATGCCATGTGGGACAGAGACAAACAGAGATGACT